CTGAGGGGCAGTTGGGAAAGCTGAAGGAAAAAGTGGTTGAAAAGGTGCAAGGCTGTATTGTGTAAGTGGTGGTTCCCTTAGCAGCATGATGGGGGGTGGGGGGATTCTGCTGTCAGCCCTCACTGCTGTGAACTTCTTTTTCTTACAAGAATGTGATAAGAGTCCTGTAGGCCATATGGAACTCACAAACCTGACCCCACTGCGTGTGTTTGCAGGTTCTTCCTTTGGTAGGTCCTGTTGCCTGGGATTGTTGCTGTGGATTTACTTGTCTGGTGTCAGACGGGCATCCTACTTGCTCTGTTTTGCATGCCAGCGTAGTTAGGTGCTGAACCCAGGGCTGTGGGAGTTGTCTTTGCGAGGTAGTTCCCAGTTCCCAGTTCTGACTTGAGGACATGACAGCGTTGAGAGCTAGGGCCGAGTTTGCTCATGGACAGACCTCCAGATGAGTTCAGACCAATGTCTGGCTGACAGCAGTCATGGTCAGACCTCATTGTTGTAGATGCGAATGTGTGCAAGAACAGCTGTCTTGGAAGTGACCAAATGCAGTGGTTAGATTTTATTACACCGTAGCATGGTCCCCTGTCTTTGTTTAATATGTGTTTCTTCTGGTTTTTTTTTTTTTTTTTGTTCCTCTGGGTGTCTATGACTTTCTGTGTCATTTAATCATTTTTGGTCCTCTTTTGTCTGAAATATGAGCCATGATAGACTTTGTCTGTTTCTCTTTCCTCTATTTTTCCTTCTCCATAGTCACTACCCTATTTAAGTTGACTGCTTCTTTGCCAGGGTAACTCTCACACCTTTGAATATTGCTCTTTTTTGCATTTTCAGTTATATATTTTGGCTTGAAGCTCTAAAATAGGAGAACATCGTTTTGCTCAGCGTGTTTCTGTTTGGGTCTGGCTTGTTCACGCCACGGGCCTGCCCTGGTTCTGTGGCCAGGTGTGGCCGGTGCTTTCCCACTGCTCCTTTGCTCTCTTTATCTCCTGGAGGTCTGCAGTTTGTCCCTTCACAATTTTTATATTTTAAAAGTCTTTCATTAATGAAGATTTTAGTTAACATCTCTATGTAACTGGTATATGGTTCTCGTTACATGAAACATCCAGAATGGGCAAATTGCTGGGGCAAGGAGCTTGTGGTTGCCAATGGGCAGTGGTCGAGGAGTGACTGTGGACAAGTGCAAGGCTTCTTTTGGGATGATGAGCAGGTTCTGGAGGCACCACAATACCAGATTTCAACATGGACTACAGGGCTGTTGCAACTAAAACCACATGATACTGACCTAAAAGTAGAACAGAATATAAACCCCAATATTGGAATCAGTGCAATGGTATTGCAGGCTAATTCTCTGCCTGTGGTTCTGGCATCCCAACTTGGTACTGATTCTAGTCCAAGCTGTTCCACTTTCTGTTCTAGCTCCCTGCTAGTGGCCTGGGAAAGCAGTGGAGGAAGGCACAAGGCATTGACCTTTTCACCTGTAGGAGACCCAGAACAAGCTCCAGGCTCCAGTCTTGGCATGTGCTCAGCTCTGGTCATTGTGGCCATTTGAGAAGTGAACTAGTGGATGGAAGAGCTCTCTCTCTGTTTCTCCTTCTCTCTATAATTTTGATTTTCAGATTGAATAAATAAATATTTTACAAAAAAAAAAAAAGGAAAGAGAAAAGAAGCCACAAAATTAAATACACATATCTACAATCAACTTTTCTTTGGTAGATATGCTAAAAACATTGCTTGGAGAAAGGACAGTCTCTTAAATAGGGGCTGGTAAAATTGGACTTCTACACATAGCAGATTGGAATAAAATCCCCTACACCTTATATAAAAAATGTTGAGGGTCTGTAGCCATCAGGGAAATGCAAATAAAACTGACAATTGGGTATTATCTTATTCCATTTAGAATGGCTATTATTCATAAGTTAAAAAAAATTAGCAAAACTAGGAAGAAAAAAGGAACTCTAACAGTATTGGTGAGAATGGGGATTGATACAGACACTATTTAAAACTGTATGAAGATGCCTCAGAAAACTAAAGATAGATATGCCATATGACTCAGCCAACCCACTTTGGGGAATCTATCTAAAAGAAATTCGCATATGATAGAGATGTCTAAACTCCCATATTTATTGCAACCGAATACATGATATCAACGCAGGTGTCTGTCAGCTGAAGAATGGATAAGATGTGGTATGTGTACATGATGGGTGATTACTCAGCCATAACAACTAATGGAATCTTGACGCATAGAACTATTGGATAGAATTGTATTCTGGAAGGAACAAGAGTGCGGCGATGGCATGGGGAAGCAAGAAAGTGGGTAACCATAAGGGAATGCTTAGTCAGAGAGAGTAGAGGTTTGTAGAAAAGGATAGATTAAAACCTAAAAAGAAAGAGGAGATCCCAGTGAGCTGAAGGAATGAGACCATATTCTGGTGATGCCAAGGACTTAGTGAGGTCGCTGATGGATTGTTTGTATGCCAGGTATGTTCCTCACGTAGCTGATGGTGTGATGGAGGGATTGGGGACTGATATTGAATGCCAGTGAAGATTGCCACGCACACACAGGAAGCTGCGTGGAGGCTTGCTTAACAGAGCGTGACTGACACCGTGTTACATGGCGGCCAGTGTAGACCAGAGAGCCTTGAAGTTCCTGTGAGGTTCATTTCTGACCACAGATACAACACGGAGTGGAGACGAGATGATTATGGAGTCCCTGGTTCTGATCCTTCCAAGGCAGTTTTCTAACCTGCCTATGACCAACCCTATCACTGCTCTGAGGCCAGGATGGTGAGTCCGGGTGGAAGTGCGCACTACAGTGCATGCCCTGTGTGAAGGCCAGGTGGTGACAGCGTGGACTGCAGGAATTGCCCCCAAGGACTCAGTTCTTTCTGTTAGCATTTCATGGCTAGGGGCCCTTCTCTACTTAAATTTTTATTTTGAATTAATAAGAAGTTTATTCTGGGCCCAGATTGATAGCCTAGGGCTAAAGTCCTTGCCTTGAATGCTCCAGGATCCCTTATGGGCGCCGGTTCTAACCTCAGCCCCTCCACTTCCCATCCAGCTCCCTGCTTGTGGCCTGGGGAAGCAGTGGAGTACAGCCCAAAGCCTTGGGACCCTACACCCACATGGGAGATCTGGAAGAGGCTCCAGGTTCTTGTCTTCGGATTGGCACAGCTCCGGCCGTTGTGCTCACCTGGAGAGTGAATCATCGGACAGAAGATGATCTTCTCTGTATATCTGACTTTGCAATAAAAATAAAATAAATCTTTAAAAAAAAGTTTATTCTAACATTCTCTACTTTTTCTTTCTAGACATAGGTAAGGCTGTCAAAAGGACAGTTATCAGAGAGATAAAATCCATTTAAATCTCTGACGTGATAGCTTATTTTTTGGTGCAACTGTTCAGAGTATCTGTTTATCTTTGCATTGGATGCTCTGAAACAAAACTGCTTAGACAGAAAGTGTTAATGCTCATTTGAATTCCATGCGACACTCAAGACCTTTTACTATGCATTTCTTGTATTTAGTTCTTTTCAAACTGTGTGACTCCTCTCAGATTTTTTTTTAAAGATTTATTTATTTTTATTACAAAGTCAGATATACAGAGAGGAGGAGAGCAGAAAGGAAGATCTTCCATCTGATGATTCACTCCCTAAGTGACAAGTGAACACAACGGCCAATGCTATGCCGATCTGGAGCCAGGATCCAGGAATTTCTTCCTGGTATCCCACACGGGTGCAGGGTCCCAAAGCTTTGGGCCGTCCTGGACTGCTTTCCCAGGCCACAAGCAGGGAGCTGGATGGGAAGTGGAGCTGCCGGGATTAGAACTGGCACCCATATGGGATCCCAGGGAGTTCAAGGCGAGGACTTTAGCCACTAGGCCATGCCGCCCGGCCCTCAGATTTTAAGATTATCTTACTAGTTAACATGTTTGAATTGTGGGTTTTGTTTTTTTTTTTTTGGTTAAGATTTATTTATTTTTATTGGAAGGCAGATATACAGAGAGGAGCAGAGACAGAGGGGAAGATCTTCCATCTGCTAATTCACTCCCCAAGCAAGCGAATGCTACAGCTGGAGCTGAGCCCATCTGAAGCCAGGAGCCAGGAGCCTCTTCCAAGGTCTTCCTTGCAGGTGCAGGGTCCTAAGGCTCTGGGCTGTCCTCAACTGCTTTGCTAGGCCATAAGCAGGGAGCTGGATGGGATCAGAACCAGAACCCATATGGGATCCTGGCACATTCAAGGCAAGAACTTTAGTCCCTAGGCTGCTGTATGGGCCCGAATTGAGGTATTTCTGACCTTCTATGGTCCTCAGTAATCTTACTTATTTTCCTTTGTTTTCTTACTCAAGGGTTCATAGCTGGTATCAAATATACAAAATCCCAGCAATTTTTGAAATATACTGACCATAATTTTTTTTCTCCACAATAATCTTGAATAAAATGAAAAAAAAAAGTCTTTTAAACGCTTTGGATATTGTCTTGCTAATTGGGGCTGCGGCTAGGGTTGTCTGTTGGTATTGCTTATACACTGGGGCTTGGCAAGAACATCTTTTAGGAGGTGATTTTTCTTGCTAAGTATGCCATAAGAGCTTGAAGAATGATTTTAATTTCTAATTTTAAAATGACTGTCACCTGAGCCAGGCTGTTTAACACTTCAAAGGTAGAGCATGTGGATTCGTCAATAAATTTAAACATGCTGGTAGTCACAGTTATACGAAGGTGTTTGAGTGATGTATTATATGCACATTTTAAATGGATATTGATCTTCATTCAGTGTCTAAATTAGAGCATCTCAATTCTTATGAAATTGCTGATTCTTTTTGACTTTATTGGCATGCAGCCAGTCATAAATTCTGGCCAACATTCCTTGGCCTTTTCTTACCTTTGCTTCTTTGTGGAGCATTCTTTAGGCTTTAGAATATGTTTGGAGCATAAAAAATTAGCAAAAAAGCTCATGTCTTTAAAGTAAACTTACCATCTGTTTCCTTGTCTGTGCTTGTGTCTTGAAGGTACTTGAAGTTTATTGCTCTGCCCTTGACTGAGAGGAAGTTTTGTCAAAGTTGTCAGCAGCTGCTGTTACTGGAGGAGTGGGATAAGCACCGTGAGCATCAGGTGCTGGGTGATATTTCTGTCTCCCAGTTACGAAGGCCCAGTCGACTCCTTTACCCACTAGAAAACAAGAAGACCAATGCTCAGTACCTGTTTGCGGAGAGGAGCTGCCAGTTCTTGGTAGACCTGCTTTCTGCCCTCGGCTTCCAGCGAGTACTGTGTGTTGGAACACCTCGGTATGTCATACACTTGTTCTTCGTTAAACTGTAGGATAATCCTACGAGGTGGGTGTGTAAAGGGTGCGCCAAGCAGCCCTGAGTATGCAGTGTGGTAATGCATGGCCCTTCTGTGATGGAGTTTGCAGCCTGTGAGCTCCTTGAGAGAATTGTTTATAAATTTCCTTCTCACATCATGGAAAATTTTTCAGTTTTATTCCTAATTGTTTATAATTTTAGACCTCTCTGTTACTAATAAGTCATTGAAACCTTTGTTAGACCTGGTGAATTCTCTGCAGTGTTTGGTTGGATGAGAACCTTGATGAGTTTTGTTGTTTGTTTACTTGCTGTCTTTGACATTTGTAGTTTCTGATTAGACTTTGTTTCACTGATTGCTTTAGTTTGCATGAGCTGATCAGACTGACAGCATCAGGTGACAACAAGTCCAACATGAAAAGCCTTTTATTGGATATCGATTTTCGGTATGTTTTCAAAATATGATTTATTGCCCTTTATTGTCTCTCTGGTTTATTTTTAAGTATTTTTCTCTTCTTCATGGTTTATAATTTGCTCTAGTGCTTTCATTAACATTTACAAGTAGTCATGAGCTACAAGGCACCTTTTTAGGTTTATATGTGCAGCGTATCATCTCTTTCTGCACAGGGAGGCAACTATTGTTCATTTTTGCTAATATGCCTTCTAGATTTTTGTCTATGGGTATATCTGGTTGTCCTTGGATTTTTAACTTAGAGATGAATTGCTACAGAATGAAACAACTTCTCAGAATTCTTGCATAGTTAGTCAGATTTCCAAGACTTTGTTCCATCATCAGATATTTAAAATGTGCTCATATGCTTCTTTGGCAATCTTTTGCATATGTGGTACATACTGTCTTTCACTGATTGTAACCTAACGTGACGGGATTAGATGGACTCAAGGCAGAGGATTAGCAAGCTTTCTGGGAGGGGCTCAGATTGAAATGGCACTGGCCACTGAACTTATCTGGACAATAAGATGCTGGACTTTATGCTAGGTATATGCTTGCAAGGAAGGAATCTCAACTGAACTTGAACTGTGGTTATGCAGCAAGGTGGAGGAATCCACCATGGGGGGAGGGGTGTGGGAGGGGTGGGGGGAATCCCAGTGCCTATAAAACTGTATCACATAATACAATGTTAATAACAATAAAAAAAAATTCTGGATTTTTGATTTTTTTAAACACCTTTTTATGCGTGTAACAGTCTCTTTCCCTCTTGCTGCATTTAAAGCATATTTCTTTTGCAAAAATTGAAATGTATTTCAAGTACATAAAATAATTATTTCAGCACAACTGAATGGTTGTACAACCATCGTCACTGTTTAAGTCCAGAACATTTTTATGACCTCTGGAATAAACCCTCCCTCAGTGACAGTCCCTCCCCATTTCCCCTGACCTGAGCCTTTTGCAACCATTAATCTTTCTTCATTCGCTTAATCTGGATATTTCATGTAAGCAGAATTATATAATATGTGGCATAGCGTCTGATTTCTATGAGTATTTTGAGAGTTTATCAATCTTGTAGCATGTATCCTTTTTTTTTTTTGGTTGAATAATATACATTTTGGTTTTCAATTCATCAGGTGGTGGACATTTGGGTTACTGTTACTTTTGGGCTATTATGATGAGTATTACTTGTTAAAGTACTATTTGTGTTAAAGTTTTATCTGAACACAACTTTTCAGGTCTCTTGGGTATTGTATTAATTTTCTAGGGCTACCCTAACAAAATACAGAAGACTGATTGACTTAAATGACAGAAACTTATTGCCTTATAGTCTGGAAGCTAGAAATCTAACGTTAAAGTTTCTCCTGAGATCTCTTCTTGGGAAAGAATTTGGCAGTTAACCAATACATTAGTTACCATGCAACTCATAGCCACCTTGTCACTGTCTCGGCAAGTGGTCTTTCTCTGTGTGCACACATCCTGTCTGTCCATATTTCCTCTTCTTGTATCAGTCAGTTCAGAACCCACACTAATGGCCTTATTTTTTACTTAATGGCCTTATTCTTTGCATTCTTGAGGCCCTGCCTCTAAAAGTTTGTATTCTGAAGCTCTGGAGGGTATAACTGCAAAATAAGGATTTTGGATGGGCTATATATAATTCATTCCACCACTGGATACCATCACTGGGAGTGGCATTACCAAGTTAAAGGTTAGCACTGAACTGCTTTCTGTATTACATTCCCAGCAAAAATGTACGAGGGCTGTTTCTCCACATGCTTGCATTTGTCTTTTTGGAAGTGATTTATAGTGACTTTATTGCATTTCCCTAGTAGTTGTGGTGATCTTGGGCATCCTTCCAGCTTTTTAAGAGCCATTTGCTTACCTTTTTAAAGAAATGTATATTCAGTTTTGGCCTATCTTAACGTTGATTATCTTTTATTATTGAAAGGAAAAAGTAAGTCTTGTTATTTTTATCCTAATTTATTTCATCTTTAATGCCTTGCCTGTGGCTTTACCTTTCTTCGATATAGCCTTCTGATAAAAGTAGGGGATGTGAACAAAGTTATTTTAAAATTCATGGAATATATTGATATTTATTATATATATATACTTCTATGTGCATTTATAATTTATAGGATATATTGATGCTTATATATATGTATATACACACACAGATAAACTTTTTGTATAATGATAGTAATGGACTACATTGATACCTATTTGCATATTCTATTGATTTAAACTTCCCTGTGTGCGTTGCGACAAAAGTTGGTGCTATTCTATTTCTGAGATTGGAGGTTAGTTTTTTGATCATCTGTTGCCGAGTCAGTTCTGTGAAAGTCAACATTAGATGTTAACAGAATCAGTGTTCAGGATGTTGGCTGTGAACTCAGTCTGGTAGGAAAAAGATTGGTTCAAATTTGTTGCGAACACCACAGTTACATCAGAAAGAAGTTTGTTCATGATGTAGAACGTAGTTGCTTCTGGCCTTGACTCTGGAACCATACTGCCCCAGCGAGTTCTGTTGGAAGCCCAGAAACTGCCTCCACCACAGGGTTCCGTGTGGATATGGCATAAATTTCCTTCTCAGTGGCTTAAAGATACGAAGTTAACATTTGCTAGGAGGGATTTCTGTATGCTCTGATGGTAGCATAAATATGTGAAACGATTTGGCAAATTGTTATCCTAATAGAATTATATCAGATTTCTTAGGTTTATTTTATGAACTTATTTTATTTGTCTCTTGATTACATTTCCTGTGTGCAGGGCATGTTTCAAACCCAGTAACTGACTCTCATTGAAAGAGAATGAATGGCCAAGTTAAATGGATGTCCTTTTGAGCAGTTTTCAAGTGCCTACATTGCTGATTAGTTTTGTTTGCTTTATCCAACAGAGAGAATAATTCTTTGCAGCCAATTTCATTTTAAGAGGGCAATCTTGGGTGACTTTTCATAATTTAAAAATATGAATGATTATGCTTCCTTGTTTGTAGTGGGTAGAAATTTAAAACTGAAGTCTTGCCTTTGTTTGCTCTCTGGCTCTGCAGGCGAGCTGCCGAGACAGGTGCACTGTGCTGAATTTTATGTACATCACATTTTGTTTTTTAATTTTAGTAACTGACTATTATGTCAAAAAGGGTTTTTACTTCCCTTTACTTACACTCACTGAGCAGTGGCAAACAGGAGAACCCCAAAATGATAGTTGACCTGTGGCTGCAATAACATTGCTGTTACTGATTCATTATAAATCAAGCCATTGAAATTTAGTTAACTTGGAAGACGTATTTATTAATAATAACTGACATTATCCCCCACAGTTTTGGGGATGTTCATTAGGTTGCAGTGCATTGTTTATACGTCTTTCAGCCGTCCATGTCTGTTGTATCTTCAGTGCACCTTTATATGAGTTATGAAATTGGCAGATGTGTTAACAGATCTTGAGTGATAATACAGGATGGTCTACTGAGAATGGTGGCCAGCTGTTCTGCCAGCTCCATCTCAGAACAACAAGAAATAGGTTTAGAGTATATTCTGGTAACCATATACACAATTCCCCTATTAGGAAATTAGGATATTAAGATACAAATTTTTATGGCTAGTATTTACTAAAATAATGATATTAAGCTTTTACATGCATTATCTCATTTATTTTCACCAAATTGTTCAAGGTAAAAGATTATTATTCTCATTTTGTAGATGAAGAGACTAAAGCTGAGGAAGGTTAAGTAACATACTAAAGTTTCACAGTTATTAAGAGATGCAGTGTGTGAAATCAGAACAAGTGACTTTAGAACTCCTGCTTTCAACCACTGTGCTATAGAAAGAGGATAAACCAGACTACCTATTATATTAAATAGTTACCTTAGATAACGGGTTATTAACAGTTTGGTTAATCGAGGGTAGTTGTCCAAAAAAGAAGTGCCTCTGTGGTGGTTTGGTTCACGAAATCATTTTGTAATGCTGTGTCTCTGATTTTTTCCCCCTACTCTTCCACTAGGCTGTGATTTCCTAAGAAGGGAGGTGTGATTACTATGTGGGGTTTTCATAGTGAAATAGTCCAAGTCCAAATTTTACTCAAACAGCAAAGAGGTTTTTGGATTGTATGAAAAACCCAGAAACCTGTAAGAAAATCATTAAGATCCATACACAGAAATTGGAAAAATATATAGATGGACAACACAAAAAAACAGTTAAGGAATATAGAAAACAATCTGGTAGTAATCCAGTGAATGCATATTTAAGCCATAACATACTATCTGAATATTGCCTACTAGTAAGTTAGCAAAAACGTATAGGATGCTAATACCCAAAGGTGGTACATTGTTTCTTTACTGATATCTCAAAGAAGTTTTGTAATCAATTCACTAATTCAATACATAAAAAATATTCACTTTTTTCTGTTATACTAAGAGGTGTATTTTATTAAACTAATCTGCATTAAACTTTGTATTAAATACTTCTTTTTGATTTACTGCAGAAGAAAATAATTAAATTGCTTTTGGGCAGAAATGTTGATTTAGCATTTTCCTTAAAATTATTAGCCATGAGAGATGTATTTTAATTGATAAAACATTGAAAGCTTTAAGTGCATAATAATATCAGTAATCTGATGGTTTATATATAATCTTAAAGTCCATGGGAATAAATGTATTTTATATACGAGTTTGTAGTTTTACCACTGGCTTATCAAAACGGGGGACATAATTGAAGTGCATTATTCACTCACTGTTACAGATTCCTCAACTTTTGGGGAAGCAGGGACACTGTGATTAGTTTTGTTTGGTTAGAGATATAATTCTGTAGTTTTACATTTTAGTTTGGTGTATCTGCATATCTGTGACTGGGCAAGTGACTCCAGTAATAAATTATTTTACAGGTACTCACAGTTCTATATGGAAGATAGCTTTTGCCATTATAACATGTTTAATCACCATTTCTTTGATGGAAAGGTAAGAACTATGACCATTATCTCCTCTCTTGTTCTAGAAAACAGGTTCAGGAGTACCTCCCTTGTTGATTTATCTACCATTTGTTGGTATTTATTTTTGTACGTTTATTGTGTGTTTACTGAACAAGAAAAAGTGACTGTGTTATTCCCATGCCTTTTGGAAAAGGCCTGCATGCTTAGCCAGGCCGCTGGGCTCCTTGTATTCTGAGCCTTGCTCCTTCCCTCGCCTAACCTCCCTCCTTTCTCCCCTTTGCTGCGTGTGCTTAGGGCACAAGGTTTTATATCTCCAGCCCGTCTGCCCTTGTACTGTGGGGCCTTTGCCCAGGCTGTTCTCCCCGGCCATGCCAATGTCTGCTCATCTCTCAGATCTCTGTTCTGATTCCCTCCCTCCAGCTTTCCCTCATCTTCCAGCAAGGTTCTGCTCTGCTTTGTTGATTTGCTGTAGTTAGTGCTTGTGAGGCAACAGGGCCTCCAGGGCAAGTCTGTGCTCTGCCTCTCACTTATGCTGTGAGCCAAAATTATTCAGACTGCTCCAGAAAGGTGAGACTTTTTATAAAATACCTTTAAAACATCCGTCTTTAAATTCATGTTAATGTTAATTAACGTCGCTGAGAATAAACAATATAGCAGACTTGAAATTTTCTATTCCTACTCCTCAATTGAGTTACTTATCAGTCGTACTACAAAATACAACTTATAACGAAACCAGGTAATAATATCTAATAGGAGGTTGGTCAAAAATGTTTTGAAATTATGAAGAATATAAGACAAAGCATACCCATAGTATATGCACGTATGAATTTCTTTAAATTGTGAACTGTTCTTCACTATATATTATGCTTTGAGGTATTTGCTAATGAAAGTGAAAACCATGTCAACTAATAAGTAAACATTCAGGAAGTGAAAACAAATAGTAAGTTGTTGGTTGGGACTGAAAATTTAACCCGTGATTTAGCAGTCATAGCATTCATTCCATTTGAATCAGTCTAGTGTTGGGATATGTATTTTCTTTTTTAGCTGTGTTAGCTATTAAAACCAAGTGTTGAAATAAGCAGCAGGCGGAACTAGAGTATTTCCATGTTTCCCAAAGGCTTGTTATGTGGCTGTGGTCACTCAGTTTGGAATCAGATTAGATGAGTATGAAGGCGAGCAGGGAGCTGAAACTTGACAGTAGATCATGAGGGCATTCTCCGGCAGAGTGGTGGCAGTGAGAAAGAGAGGAGGGAATTGTGCAGTTTTATAAGTCAGTTTTATTTATGACCTTAAACTTGATCTGTTATACTTGTCTCCTTTTCTTTTTGAGATTTATTTATTTGAAAAGCATAGTTACAGTGAGAGAGGAAAACAGAGAGATCTGCAGTCCACTGGTTCACTTCCCAAAGGGCTGCAGCAGCTGGGGCTGGCCAGGCCCAGTCCAGGAGCCTGGAATTCTGCCAGCATCTCCTTCATGGGTGGCAGGGGCACAAGTGTTTGGGTCACCACTGACTTTTCCCTGGTGCAATAGCAGGGAGTTTGTGAAGTGGAGCAGCCAGGGACCTGAGTCAGTACAAGTGGCAGCTTAACTGACTGTGCCACAGCATTTGCTCTGTAACTTGTTTTTGGAATTTTATAGAATTTACCTTCCAGGGTTGGAGTAAGGGGTTCTGTGTCGTGCCCTGAAGAAGGCAGCCATTGAACTTGGTCTTTCCTGACTGTAATTTTAACAGCAGCCTCTAGTGCCACGGCCGTAGAGATCCACCTACAGAAGACTATTGTTCCGATGATTGCACTCCGCCCTACTCCCTGAGTGAAGTGTTTTTGGAGGCATTTGCTGTGTGTTATTCAACCACTGACTATTTTTGGGTCTTCGGGTGCTTGTGAAGTGATTTGGGACACACTGGAAGATATGTGTTTCTGCCTCAGCGCCTGTGCTCTGTATGAGCCCAGGGTAAAAAGGCACATGTTCCCCACATGGAGTTTTCTCATAGTAAATCGTGAAGCCCACTAGGTAATAAACAAATGTCATGTACCTTTCAGTAGTAGGGGTTTCTGTATGTGAATGTATGGTCAGTCAAACTGTCAAGCTCTTTTCTCATGAAAACAGAAGTGAGTTCAGCTTCTGTAGACAAGCCTTTATTTCCCACAGACCATCACATTAGCACTGTTAGCAACTGGTGGCATCCATTACACACCAGTGTTTCTTACCTAAAAACAGTATGTAAAAATATGTTAATTTATGGGCCTGGTGCAGTAGCTTAATGGCTAAAGTCCTCGCCTTGCATGTGCCAGAATCCCAAATGGGCCCCATCTTGTGTTCCAGGTGTTCCACTTTCCATCTATCTCTCTGCCTGTGGCCTAGGAAAGCAGTGGAGGATGCCCAAAGCCTTGGGATCCTGCACCCATGTGGGAGACCTGGATGAAGCTCCTGGCTCCTGGCTTCAGATCAGCTCAGCTGCAGCTGTTGTGGCCACTTGGGGAGTGAGCCAAAGGATGAAGATCTTTCTGTCTACCCTCCTCTCTGTACATCTAACTTTCCAAAAAAAAATCTTAAATGATCCTCTCCCTTCATGACTGGGCCAGGCCAAAACTACAAACCAGTAGCTTCATCTGAGCCTCCAGGTAGCTGCAGGAGTCCTAGCAGTTGGGCCGTCCTCTGCTGCATTTCCAGGCCCATTAGCAGGGAACTGGATAGGAAGTGGAGCAGATAGGAATTGAACCAGTGCCCGTATGCAAAGCTGGCACTTAGGTGGCCGTTTTGCTAAGATCCAAATGTAATGCCCTATATAAAGCTTTGTTGTTGTTGTTGTTCTTGCTTATTGGAGAGGCAAACAAAGGTGCTGCAGACACAGAGCTCGTATCCATTGGTTCTCTCCCCGTGTGCCTGAGTGGCCCAGGCTGTGGCTCTGCCGACACTGGGAGCTGGCATCTCCATCCAGGTCTCCCACTGTTTGCGCCATGCCTGCAGTCTCCCCGGTCCACATTAGCAGGAAGATGCAGTTAGGATCTAGATCTCGTGCAGCCAAACTCCAGCTGCCTGATGTGACATGGAGACATCGTAACTGCCAAGTCTGTCACCCGGCCCTGCGGTAATGCATTTTTAAAGTAGGAATTCAGGCATCATTCGCTTGTTTGTATATTTTATTGTGCTTTATTTCTAAGGAACTTGAGAGTTTTCAATATCATCATCTGTGCTTTAAGTCCTTGCTAATGTAAGCAGGTTAAGAAAATGCCAGGAACACTTGAAAAATGATTAACCTTCTTGACATGCCATCCTCTGCGGTAGAAGTTCTAGTAGGGAGTTAATAAAGATGCTCCGAGGGAAAAGGAATTGGGATGTTGTCATTTTTTCTCTCATCAGGTGGGTCTTCTAAATTGATTTAGCGGTAGAATAATATATATTTTATTATAAAGTACATACAGGCTTATTAAAGTTTAAATGTCATTAAACTTTAAAATCTTGTGACATTTTGTATACTGTGTTGATTTACTTTTATAGATGAATACTTGAAAACTATTTCCAAGACTGGAGATATAAGTACAGGTGTGACTTATTAATTTCATGAAAGCAAAACATGATAAGTTTCCTTGTTAGTGTTACTTTTGTGGTTACTAAGACGTGGAAACCAACCCATTGGGAAGATGTGTTAATAGCGATGGACTGGATAAGCTTAGTCAATTGTGAACAAAAGAATTTTACGTGGTGTGCACGTTCAAATATGCCTGTCAGTTATTTGACACCCAGAAACGTGTATGTGTTTAACTGTTAATATGTAGCTGTTTTTAAACTGGATTCATCTTGATGAACAAACCAGATGAACGGAAATAGGTCTTATCGTTTTTGTGTTCTCTGGCTCCTGTTTGTTCTGTTTCATGAATTTGACGTTTTAGATAGTTTTCACGGGTGATGAATTTCTCCCTTTTAGCTTACTAAATTTAGTTTTTTTTTTAATTGAATTGTTTGACATGTGTAGCCTTCCGATAGTGATGGTGTTTGCGTTTGCAATTTTATACACCTGCCTATCCAGGAACCCAGTGATAGCATCTTGGGAGACTGAGAGAGGCTTTCGGATGTCACAGAGCGACCCGTGGTGGTAGGAGGAGGACTTGGGGGAAGTTTCCAGGAGCGAGCAAGCCTGAGGCTGTGGAGTACAAGGTGTTTTCCTCCAGCTAGAGCTCCCTTCTTCCAGTCACGGTGTAGAAATGGGTTTTGCTTTGTTGCAGGCCGCCCTTGACGTGTGCAGAGCCTTTTTACAGGACGGTAATGGAGAAGGAGTCATTATGGTGACAGATCCGCCTTTTGGTGGCTTGGTGGAACCTCTCGCTGTTACATTCAAGAAGTTGATTGCCATGTGGAAAGAAGGTCAAAGCCAAGGTGTGTCACTTATTACTGCACAAGTAAACGTGCATTCTTGGATCTACTTTCTGTCAAATATTAGTTGAGCCAGTGAGTCACAGCACTGATGGAATGCACATTTCTAGTTTGTTCTGTTTTTTTTTTTTAACAGGCATACTTGTTTATGCGGCTGGCTTCATTTTCATGATGTCCTTTGTCTTTTTCTACTTATGCATTTTTTAAATAGGCTGTAAATAGAATATTTGCTTTTGGAGGGGACAGTGGGACATTATGAAAAGTAGCAGTGAATTGCTGTCATTCACTCAGCAAATACTTATGAGTGGCCACCATGTGTCAGCAAGGCACCGTTTACTTATGAGTGGCTACCATGTGCCAGGCCAGGCACCATTTACTTATGAGTGGCCACCATGTGCCAGGCCAGGCACCGTTTACTTATGAGTGGCTACCATGTGCCAGCCAGGCACCGTTTACTTATGAGTGGCCACCATGTGCCAGGCCAGGCACCATTTACTTATGAGTGGCCACCATGTGCCAGGCCAGGCACCGTTTACTTATGAGTGGCCACCTTGTGCCAGGCCAGGCACCATTTACTTATGAGTGGCCACCATGTGCCAGGCCAGGCACCGTTTAGGCGCTGCGGGTTAGATTAATGCACAGTGTAGGTGTGCTCGCATTGCCAAGCTCAGGCCCAAAGCTTGAGACTTTGCGAGGATTGGAGTGTGGACCTAGGAGATCTCAGAGGCTAATAGTGATTATCAATGGCGCACACACTCTCCAGCCCTCAAGATGGGTGAATAGCTGGGGTTTATTATTCAGTTTAAAGTGGCTTAGGGCTTCAAAGTGTTTTGTTTAATGATCTAATTAGTTAGTGCACTCAAATTTTAGATAGTTTCTAGCTTCCAAGCTGATAAATTGTATCAGGCATGTGTGATCGAGCTTCTGCATTAATTGCGCTACATAAATAGTGTACCTTGGGAGCAGAATGCAAACAAAATCCACGACTTGACATATTTCATTAAGTATCTCGTTCACTGGCTCTTCTTGTGTTCACTAATCGGTGGATAAAATCAGAGTTATTGGGGAAGCAATAAAGAGCTTTATGAACTTGAATTCTGATTCTGCCACTTCCTAGTGCCACGAGCCTGATGACTTGTGGTCTCAGATTCCCTATCTGTAAGTAGGATTTTTAGTATCGCACTCTAGCTGGTTTTATAAAGAGACAGAATATAGAAGGAATTTGGCAGGGTACTTACTCAGCCTTTGTCGCTCTCTAAATAGTTGTTGTGTTCCTTGCATCTTGTGAAAACTGATTTGGATAAGCTTGTTTTTAAGAACCTTCAATGATTCAGCAAGGATTGTTTCACCCCTGAAATCCTGGACAATACATCGAGTCCGAGCCAGGATTCCCAGCCCGGGCCTCTGCTGGGCCGTCCCGGGTTGCTGCGTGGTGTTCCGACTGCCTTGGCCTCACAGTGGTACTCTTCCTCTTTCCTGGCCTGTCTGTACAGTCCTAGCGTTTGTCTGGACTATGGACATGGCATATAGTTGTAGTTACTTTTATGTTTTGTTTGTAGTTCTGTTCACCTGTGCTCTGGTAAGCATTCTTTTTGTATGAAATTTAAGTGTATTGAACAATTGTTTCTGATATTGGAAGTTTTTCTGATATTGGAAGTTTTCCAGTTATGGCTGTTTTTCAATTATAATGGTTTGACTTTTTTTCCTTCAATGTCAAACAATTTATGTTTTAATGTTCTTTCTCTATTTGTGTGTTTCATTAGATGATGGTTACAAAGAACTACCCATTTTCTGGATATTCCCCTATTTCTTTGAATCGCGAATTTGTCAGTTTTTCCCCAGCTTCTCCATGCTGGATTATCAGGTATAGTAAATAGTTCTGTTTTCTGACATATTTGGAGATTGAATATTCTGCTTAAATACATGGTCTGATAAGACTGCCCATTTGATATTAGTAAATGAATACACAAGGAACTGTATTAAACTCTAAAATTATACCATCCATAGCTTAGTTCATTGGTTCCAAAATAGTCATCCCTAGAGTGATTATTAAGAGCTGATTAGAGGGCCCGGCGGCGTGGCCTAGTGGCTAAAGTCCTCGCCTTGAACACACCAGGATTCCATATGGACACTGGTTCTAATCCCGGCAGCTCCACCTCTCATCCAGCTCCCTGCTTGTGGCCTGGGAAAAGCAGTCGAGCCCAAAGCTTTGGGACCCTGCACCCGTGTGGGTGACCTGAAGGAAATTCCTGGATCCTGGCTTCAGATCGGCATAGCACCGGCCATTGCGCCCACTTGGGGAGTGAATCATGGGACGGAAGATCTTCCTCTCTGTCTCTCCTCCTCTCTGTATATCTGACTTTCCAATAAATTAATAAATCTTTAAAAAAAAAAAAACCTAAATCCACCCAATCAGAATCAGCAGGCTGCACTTCAGGAACAGACGTGCTATAGGTGCAGATGTGTGGCTAGATTTCATGCCAGCTGATTCAATCTTTGAGTCTCACCAGCATATTCTGCAATTCCTCTGCCACGCTGTACACCATGAGTACATGGCTGTGTGTTCAGACCCGGTGCACACTGTGAACGCGTGGCTGTGTGTTCAGATACGGTGCACACCGTGAGCGCGTGGCTGTGTGTTCAGAGGTTGTGCACACACCGTGAGTGCGTGGCTGTGTGTTCAGATACGGTGCACACCGTGAACGTGTGGCTGTGTGTTCAGACACGGCGCACACCGTGAGCGCGTGGCTGTGTGTTCAGAGGTTGTGCGCACACCGTGAGCGCGTGGCTGTGTGTTCAGAGGTTGTGCGCATACCGTGAGCGCGTGGCTGTGTGTTCAAACCCGGCGCACACCGTGAGCGCGTGGCTGTGTGTTCAGACCCGGTGCACACCGTGAGCGCGTGGCTGTGTGTTCAGACCCGGTGCACACCGTGAGCGCGTGGCTGTGTGTTCAGACACGGCGCACACCGTGAGCGCGTGGCTGTGTGTTCAAACCCGGCGCACACCGTGAGCGCGTGGCTGTGTGTTCAGACCCGGTACACACCGTGAGCGCGTGGCTGTGTGTTCAGACCCGGTGCACACCGTGAGCGCGTGGCTGTGTGTTCAGAGGTTGTGGGCTGCTTGTTCCGGCTATGAATGCGGGTGCTTCACTGTCTCTCCCTGGATGCCACGGGCTCTGAGGAGGGCTGTTCCCAAGCCATGTGCCAACAAAGAGGTGGAAGTTTCTGGAGGGAGAAGACTTGTTCCTCACAGCACTGCCTCGCCAGTTTTGTCCATTTCCTCATGAGAGTTGAGACAGTATCTCCCAGCAGCTCTGCTCTGTCCATTCAAGTGTTACTGCGCTTTAGTGTCTCCTTGGGTTTGTTTCCTTGGCTTCTGAGTTGAGCCTGTTGTTGCCATGGTTCTGTAGTCACTGCTTCCTCCTCTTGTCACGACAGTTTTCTGGAAATTGAGTGGCGCCTAGGTCTGGCTGTACCCCCTAGAACTGGCAATGCCCTCAGTAGTTGTTGCAAGCCAGCTCTTGGTTCTCTCTCTTTTTTTTAATTGGAAAGTCAGATATACAGAGAGGAGGATATAAAGAGAGAAAGATCTTCCATCCGATGGTTTACTCCCTAAGCAAGTACAATGGCCAGAGCTGAGCCAATCTGAAGCCAAGAGCCAGGAGCCTCCTCTGGGTCTCCCACGTGGGCGCAGGGTCCCAAGGTTTTGGGCCCTCCTCTATTGCTTTCCCAGGCCACAAGCAAGGTGCTAGATGGGAAACGTGGCCATATGGCAGCCATATGGTGTGCTGGCGCATGCAAGGTGAGGACTTTAACTACAAGGCTACTGCATTGGGCCCTCTTGGTTCTAATCTTAAGGTTATATAACATCGTGAAAATTATGGGCCCGGCGCGGTGGCGCAAGTGGTTAAGTCCTCGCCTTGCACGCCCGGGATCCCATATGGGCGCCGGTTCTAATCCCGGCTGCCCCGCTTCCCTTCCAGCTCCCTGCCTGTGGCCTGGGAAAGCAGTCGAGGACGGCCCAAAGCTTTGGGACCCTGCACCCGCGTGGGAGACCCGGAAGAGGCTCCTGACTCTGGATCGGCATAGTATCGACCGTTGCGGCTCACTTGGGGAGTGAATCATCGGACGGAAGATCTTCCTCTCTGTCTCTCCTCTCTGTATATCCGCCTTTCCAATAAAAAAATAATAAAAATAAATCTTTAAAAAAAAAAAAAAGAAAAAGAAAATTATGTTGAAATTCTCAGAGACAGCAATACCAACAGTGAAGGCACAGATCCTGCCCTGACTCCATCCAAGCAGCCAGTTTTTATACATTCCAAGCATTCATTTTCAATCTTTTTAAATAGTAATTCCAAGCATTCATTTTCAATCTTTTTTAGTAGTACTTTTTACATCTTTATAATTATAGATGACAATTTTGAATTCTGTCTTGAGTTCTTTCTTCTAATTCTTATATAAGTAAACATTTTTAAAGGAAGCTATCTAATCTTTTTGCTTTTCATATTAAATTATTTTATTAGCAGGCTATGCTGTTGTTCCCCTTTTGGACTTTAGGGTGCTTCCACCTTGAAGGCGCTGTAAGGAGCACAGCCATCAACATCTCTTGTAATGTTTCCATATTTCATATAGTGTCCTTACGTAGACCTGTAAGACAGAAGTTACTTGGTCAGGCTTATGGATGGTTTCTGTCTGTTGAGGCACTGACAGGTTCCTTTCCAAATGTGTGGAGCAGCAGTCATCTTAGCCTTGGCTTCTCACGCTCCACCTCAGGCAGCTGACATCACAATTTCTCTCAAATTGTTTCCTCTCCTCACAGTTTCCTCGCCTTGTTAGGGCGTCCAGTTTTCCGGATGCTTGTAGTATTGGCCTTTGCAATGGACAGAGAGCTGATAGATCCTAACGATGGTACCCAACGACACTGCTCCCATTTCCCAGCAGCATTGCTGCCCTTGGCTTGGCTTACTGCTTAGTGTAACTCTTGGCATGCAAGAGGTGCTTCAGACATGTCAAATGAATAACTGGATGGCAAAGAATGTGAACTCTGGCATGGGCTTTGGGCCTGGTTCTTCTATTTAACTTCTTGGAAGATCATTATAGCTGACCAGTGAGTACAGGAATAATAAATGTCTCATGAGGTTCTTAGAATTTTTATAAGCTGACGCGTAAAAATGCTTAGCCCAGCCCTTAACGTTACAGTCACCATAAAGGTGATTACCAGATAGTACCAAGGTCAGGGAGAAACTTTTCCTCAGGTACTCTTTTTGTGCAACTTCTGAAACATTAAAACTGTATAACACAAACTCCCTCAGAAACATTGCATCCAAATTTACAGAGGAGTCGTTCCACTGTGACTAAGAATTTGGGCAAGTGACAGGCCTCAAGAGGGCACCATAGGGTACTGTCGGTGAGAGAGGTGAATGTGGAGTGGCGAGTTGTCACTAGTTTAGATGGCCTGTGTTACTAGGAAAGATTTAGAAGTGTTACTGTTGTAGTTGTTTTTATTTCATTTCATTATTTTATGTGAAGGCAGAGAGAGAGATGGAGGCTGTCTTCCCCCCTCTGAATCACTCCTGCAGCAGTCAGGGCCCGGCCAGGCTGAAGTCTGGAGACCAGAACTCCGTCCACAGCTCCCACATGCGTGACAGGGAACCAGATACTTCTGATGACGTCTTCCTAGGTTGTACATTCGCAGGAAGCTGGATCAGAAGTAGACATGGGACTTGATCCTCTTCATTTTGATATAGGATATGGGTGTGTCAAGCCATGGTTCAGTGCACCACACCGCAAGTCCAGCCCTGGAAGCAGTTGCCAACTCTAAGCTTATCGAAAATAATTATTCAGTTCAGTGTGTTGGTCGGAAAAAGTTCTGATTGGGTAGAGTGAAAGCTTTCTTCAGTAAAATGAAAACCAACCTCTGAAAAGAAAAAGAATAAAATCCGTAATAAAGACAAGTTTTTCATGATGGTTAGTAAAAGTAAGAATGACACTGCCCATTGTATGTTCATGCTGTAGAAGCTGATTTTGTCACATACTCATCATGTATGTGAAAGTAGTATTTGTTTTAACACTTCTTTGGTGACTTTTCTACTCTGAAATTTTAAAAAAATTTCTCTGGACCTACTCTTGTTCTTCACTGAGCCTTTGTCTTCTCTTTCTTCCTCATTTTATTTTAATTTCTTTCTTTTTTCTTTTACATTTGCCTTCTTCATCAGATGAAGCTCTGGAGAGCGCCTGCCTCCCTCACAGCTGTCTCACACAGACCTTGATTGGGCTTTCTCTCCGACCTTGGCTGTGATTATAAACCCCCAAGCCACAATGCAGTCCGAAGCCCCAAATCACTGAGTCTCTTTTGGAAATACTCTTCAAGGAAAAGGAGGGTGGAAATGCTGGAAATTTTCTTTGCATTTAAATTATGTAGGCTCTTCAGTGATAAAGCACTTGATGAATGCAGGATAAAGTGATTATCAAAGGCCTAGGAAACCCAGAGCTTTATTAAGGGCAGATTAGAAGGGATGTGATAAAGACGAGGAATTCTGAACTCCGCCTCTGGTAGCTCTGCCTCTTAGAGGCTGTTTAATCTAGAAGGAGGTTGCTTTATCTTCCCAGTGCTGTGTCTCCATTGCTATATAAAATCAGCTGACTGAACTAGAGAGGGAGTGGATGATAAGTTTCACTTTTAGTACTAAGCCTGATAAATTGGTAGTGGCTTTCTGGAGAATTTGTTGAGAATACTAGATTTGGTGACAAAGAGCAACATGATTGATTAGTGATGTCTGCTCGGGGAGCAGGATGGCAGAATGGTGGCCTGGTATTTATCATATCTTAATGAGATGATCTCAGTCCCTGACATTGTGTTCTGCCTTGTTTCTGTGTGAATGTGGGACAGTTGTTCTCATGTTAAGGCAGACCTTTTGTTTTTATCAAACTGTTCTTTTCCAAAGTCAGCATCTATAAGAAGCTGTGTTTTTCAAGGTTAGTTTCAAAGTCAGAAATGAAGATATTTTGCTAGGAATTTCTAGAAAATTCTTACAAATTAGGAGCTAGCACGATGATGCAACTGGCTGGTTCTCTGCCTGCATGCACCAGCATCTCATAGGGGTGCTGGCCTGTGTCCCAGCTGCTCCATTTTCCATCCTGCTCCTGCTTATAGCCCAGGAAAACTATGGAGGATGGTCCAAAGCCTTGGACCCCTGCACCCAAGCATTAGACCCAGAGGAAGCTCCTGACTCCTGGCTTGAGATGGGCTCAGCTCTAGCTGTTGCAGCCATTTGGGCAGTGAACCAGTGAATGGAAGACCTTTGTCCCTCTATCTTTCTGTAAATCTGCCTTTCTAATAAAAGTAAATAAATCTTAAAGAAGAAGAAAGTTGTTGTAGATCAAAAGATGGCAACGAAAATTCAGGGAACTCAGTCTGTACAGTAAAGAGTCTGTGTGAAGAGGAGGAAGCCATTACACAACACTTTTAAGCAGGTGATTGGGAATGTGACTGTTAAAGCCTTATCGCCATGATACCAGCCGGGTGATGGAACCAGCAGTATAGCTACTGACATCAAAGAGATTATGAAAATGCCCGTGCTCTTGTCTTATTTTATCTTTGTTTCTTGGCAGGATGCCTGGAACATAGTAGGTGCAAAATAAATGTTTGTTGAACTTGAATGTCTTGGTTCTCCACTTAACTCAGTTCCGCCTCCTGTTACGGAAGATATTTGCATACAGATAAAAGTTAGAAATTGCCGAGATTTTGTACTTTCCCTCATTTCTATACAGTACTTCATCACATTAATCAGTTCCATGGGAGAGATTTTCTATTTGGAAATGCCTCTCATCATCATTGTGAGTAAAATGTCAGAGATAATGATAGGAAAATGGTGTATCAGCTCTACCACTAGTGATAAGCAATTTGCAAAATTGTGTTTGCTTTATAGCACTTCCATTGGAGGTTTATTTGTGTGGATGAAACTATGAAATATGGATGTATGTTAGAGGTACATTAATTTACCCCAGCAGCATGTATTTTACATACCATATGTTTATAGTTAATTAGCACAACAAACCCGAATTTAAAAATAATAATAATCTCAATTAGGTTATGCAAAATCAAGCAAACCCCCTTCCTGATACATTACATTTTCTGACTCCTTGGGTAACTGTAAAGAAAAACTTGTTTCTCTCCCTCCCTTCCTACCATCTGCTGTCTGTTACGTTGCGTGAAATAGCCCATGCACTAGAGACCTTTCTGAAAATATTACTTTGCAACATTGGGTAATCTTGCTGAGATTGTCTTGGGAAGGATTTTCCCCCTATCTTGTGACATTCAAATCTTCAGAGTATCTTTATTGACTTTAATAAGGAGCCACCTATTTGTTGAGTGTACTAAAGAGTGCATGAGAAAAAACTTAGGAATTTAAACAAATATAAAGGAAAACTACTAAAAGCACTATTTTAAAGTGATTTTAAAGTGAAATTTGTTTAGCCTATTTTAGAATTTTACAAGCTTGCAAGAAGTGTGGAGGCCCTCCGTGGCTGGCTCGCCCAGGTGGGCAGGCGTCCTCACCTCCAGGTGGGCCAACAGACGTCTCGCCTCGCTTGAACACCCTCGCTGAGCAGAGCCCTGCAGCCTTGCAAGGCAACTCCATATTCCTAATGCTTTTATTTTTTAGAAATGTTTCTAATCTTGAGATCAATTATGTTCCCCTATTAACTTTTAACCATTGATCCTAGTTCTGTTCTCTGAGGCAACACAGGAGAAGTCTATCTTCTGTTCTTTGTGACTCCTTTTCAGGTACAAAATAGCTGTCAGTTCCTCTGGCCCTTTTCTGAATGAACAGCCACAATTTGTGAAAGACTAACTTTTCGTCATTCCCACTACTAGCAGTAGAAGTGAAGCAGTTTAATATAATGTCTTATAAACACGGCGAGTGAATGCACGATGCAGCGGGCCTCACCCTACTGCATTCCTGGGGTCAGCTGTGAGCCCCAGCTGCCTGCCACACGGCCATGTGGGCTGTGGGCTCACCAAGCCAACAGGCAGCCCAAATTCTAGAGAGGTGTTCACACTGTCCTTGGCTTTGGTCATCCTAGGCTTGGTTCTTCCCACTGGTGAAGCATTCTTATGAGCATTTTAAACCAGGACATAAACCTAACCATTAGGGTTAAACTAGGCAGTGCCACACAGACAGGCCTAGGAATCTGCCACCAAAGGCCTCTGTTTTCCTTGTCATCAATTCCTTACACCCGTTAGATGACTTGATTATTAACTAGCTGGCATAGGAGCCAGTGTGTTGTAAGTAAGTGTATTCCCATTTAGAATCTGAAACAGTTCATTTACCACTTACCCCGACTGGAATGTGCCTGAGTTGACTTCATAAAAATCTCATGTCTTCTTTTTTTTAATGTTTATTTTTGTTTATTTTCATCTACTTGAAAGAGAGGAATAGAGAGAAGTATCTTACACCCACTGGTTATTTCCCAAATGCCTTTGGCATCCATAGTCAGGTCAGGCAGAAGCCAAGAGGACCAGGACTCTTGCTGGGAATCTGTATGACTGCCAGGGTCCTAGCATTTGAACCATCCTCTGCTGCCTGTCAAGGTTCACCTTAGCAGAGTAGCTAGGACTTTAACTAGCACTCCGGTTGGGCATCCCAGACTGGCTTAACTCACTGTATCACAGTGCCTCCCCTTTGTGTATGCTTGTGAATTGTCTAAAACACTGGTTCTCAAGCTTGAGCATGCCAGAGGACGGGTTAAAACAGATTGCTGATCCTACTCCCAAGTTTCTGTTCTTACTAGGATAAGAACTTGCATTTCTAAGAAAGGTTCCCTGTGATGCTGATGTTGCTGATCAGATGCCACACCTAGAGAATTACTGATCTAAAGAAAGATGGATTTAGTGGCCAGGTGGATTCACAGCAGGCTAGAAGCCCAACTGAGCATGTGCGGATAATAGATTGGAGGAGTTGTTTATTTTCTGCTGAAACTGAAGGTTGAATGAGGGATCCTGAGGAGAGGACTAAATGATTGAAATGTTCATGGAGGAAGTCAGCAGCCTCCTGCCCCTCGTCCTACTTTATGCCAGACCCTGAACTAAGAATTTTATATACTCATGTTTTATGTTGTCTTAGGCTTCACAGCCAACTCTAAGTGTCAGTCACCATTTTTATAGATAAAACACAAGTATATAAACTTGCCTGAGGTCGTGTAACAAATGGTAGAGACCCTTGCTCCCCTGAATGTGAGAGGACAGCGAGTGGTGGAGAACCACACTGAAACTGCTGAGATGTACTGAGCTGAAAACTAAGTTGGGTGAACTTCACACACAAAGATGCAAACCCTCCGTCAAGCTAGCACACACCTCAGGGCCAGAATTGTTTTGTTAATACAGAAAGCTGAATTCTGTCTCTTACAAAAAGATTATTTATGTATTTTAAAGTCAGAGAGACCTTGCATCTCTGATTCACTCCCCAAAAGGCCACAGTTGGAGCTGAGCTGATCTGGAGTCTAGAGCCAGGAGCTTCCTCTTGGTCTCCCATATGGGTATAGGTTCCCAAGGACTTGCGCCTTCCTCGACTGCCTTCCTGGGCCATAAACAGGAGCTAAATCTTGAGGGAACAGCTGAGACGTGAACAAGTATCCATATGGGACACGGGCGCCACAGATGGAGCTTCAACCTACTATACCATGATGCCATTCTCAAAAATTTCCTTTTTTAAAGACATTTTTACAGAGAGAGACATATTCCATACCCTGGTTCACTCCCCAAATGGATAAAGGGTTAGGACTGGGCCAGAGCAGAGCCAGGAGCCAGTAGCTCCTGGGTTTCCCATGTAGGTTACGGGATGGAGCACATTGGCTGTACTCTACTGCTTTTCTAAGGGCCTTGGCGGGAAACTGGGTCATAAGTGGAACAACCTGGACTTGAACTGGCACTTGTATGGGATCATCACAGCTGTGCCTTTACTTGCTGCACTACAATGCCAGCCCCTAAGATTACCTTGTTAAAGCTTTAGTTTAAGTTGTATTTTGATGTCAGTTTATTTGTTGGTTAAGGAATCCTAATGAATTTTGAATCATTTCAGTAAATTTTCCTTGTGCTTTAATTTTTTACACCCTCTAGGTAGACTATGACAATCATGCACTTTATAAACATGGAAAAACAGGTCGAAAGCAGTCTCCTGTGCGGATTTTCACCAACATCCCCCCCAGCAAAATCATCCTTCCCACAGAAGAGGGGTACAGGTAAGGTCACAGTGGGACTGGATAGGATCAAGACAGGAAAATTGCTTAGAGGTATAGCTAAGAGTAAAATGCTTGCAGTGCTGAGGCATACAGTTTTCATTTAAATTTAGTTTGTATTTTCAAAGTGAATTGGAAACCGAGTATTGCCAATTTTTGTGTCCATTGCCTTGAAGGCTTTTATTGTGTGGATCTTGGTGAATACAGGCAGCTGACTTCTGTTTCTTTCCTCTTTAGATTTTGTCCTCTGTGTCAACGATATGTTTCTGTTGAGAATCAGCACTGTGAACACTGTAATTCTTGCCCATCCAAGGTGTGCTCTTCTTACAGAATGCATTTTTATTTAAATATATGTTTTCAGCTTTAGTTTACTAATTTCATTTGTTTTTTAATTATCCTTTTGTCAGTATTACAGTTTGCATTAGTATGTATTATTTTAGTAATTACATTTCAGTGTAATACTGTATCTTGTTTCTAATCATAGAGTACAGCAGGTTTTTCTTTCTTTTTTTTTTTTAAAGATTTATTTATTTTTATTACAAAGTCAGATATACAGAGAGGAGGAGAGATAGAGAGGAAGATCTTCCGTCTGATTATTCACTCCCCAAGTGAGCACAATGGCCGGTGCTGTGCCGATCCAGAGCCAGGAGCCAGGAACCTCCTCCAGGTCTCCGACGCAGCTGCAGAATCCCAAAGCATTCGGCCATCCTTGAGTTCTTTCCCAGGCCACAAGCAGGGAGCTGGATGGGAAGTGGGGCTGCCTGTATTAGAACCGGCGCCCATATGGGATCCAGGCGTGTTCAAGGTGAGGACTTTAGCCGCTAGGTCACACCGCTGGGCCCTCCAGCAGGTTTTTCAAAGCACTTGCTGGGGCCAGCATTGCAGCACAGTGAGTTAGGCTGCTGCCTGTGAATGCCAGCATCCCATATGAGTGCTGGCTTGAGTCCTAGCTGCTTCTCTCCTGATCCAGCTCCCTGCTAATGCTCCTGTGAAAGCAGAGGAAGGTGGTTTGTTGTTGGGTCCCTGAGAGCCACATGGGAGTCCTGGGTGGAGTTCCAGGCTCTTGGCCTTAGCAGACACAGCCCTGCCCATTGCAGCCATTTTTAGATTGAACCAGTAGATTGAAGATCTCTGTCCGTAACTCTGCCTTTCCAGTAAATAAATATGTAAAAAGTACACTTGCTTGCCTTCATCATCATCAGTTGCTTGAATTCATTTTCAGATGGTGCTATACAACCATGAAAATGAGCTCTAGATTTATATGTATGGTGAAGGCAGAATTATGAAGTTTCCAATAGGGCTTTGAACTATTAGATACTATCACCATTCTGATGAAATAATAATTAATAACTATGCTGTGTACTTTGTATGTGCCAGCATCTATCCTAAGAGCTTTATGGGGATTAACTCACTTAATCTTCCAACAGGCTTATTAAGTGGAGACTGCTAGTTGCTGCTTTTCTACACATGTGGAAGCACTACCCAATTTGTCACTGCTATTTCCTGTTTCTGTTTATCTAGCCACCATTTTTCCTTAATAGGCTTTATTTTTCCCAGGCCATTTTAGAGCCACAGCAGTATTGAGCAGACGGTGCAGAGATTTCCAACTCATTGTCCCTGCACACAGCTATCTTCCCTGCTTGTCCACCTGCCCACCAGAGTACATTTTGTTACAATTGATGAACGCACAGTGCCTCATGAACACCCAGAGTCTATTGATTATGTCTGGGTTTTCCTTTTGCTGCCGTGAGTTCCGTGAGCTGGGACAACTGTGGAATAATGTGAGGCTTTCCCTGAGCTCCTCCCCGACACCCTGTCTTCCAGCTTTACACTCCTCTCTCTGTGACTTCTCATAGCTGCTCTTTTTTGGTTGCCTCCATAGTTGCCCCTTCCAGATGTACGGTTGGGAGCCTTCAGCTTGTAGCCTTTTCAGATTGATTTCAGATTGAAAAAGCTAGAGAAAGAGAGGAGAGAGAGAGAGACCGAGACCTTGCATCTGCTGATTTCACTCCCTGGATGCTAACAGCCAGGAGTGGGTCAGGCAGAAGGCAGGCTGCCAGAGCTCTCTCCAGCTGTCTGAGTAGACAGCAGGGACCCAAGGACTTGAGCCAGCACCTTCTGTCCCCAGGATGCACATGCAGCTCTCCACAGTGTGACACAGGCGTCCCAACGGCTGCACGAAGCCTGCCCCACATTTTCTGTTTAACTAACTCTGGTCAGAAGGAGGCTCTGACCTTTACTTTGGCTTTAAGCATGAATTATTTGCCAAAGAAATGGCTATCTTTATTTAAATACTTGAAAGGACATTTTTCATAGTTCTGTAACTTTGTTACTGGCTTATACATTAAAAAAAAAGATTTCTGTATTTTATTTGAGAGTTACATAGAGCGATGTTCCATCCACTGGTTCACTCCCCGCATGACTGTTACCATCAGAGTTGGGCTTGTCTGAAGCCAGCAGCTAAGAGCTTCCTCTGGGTCTCCAGTGTGGGTGAAAGGGTCCAAGCATATGGGCCATCCTCTGCTGCTTCCCCGACCATTAGGGAGCTGTGCAGGAAGTGGAGCAGCTGGGACATGAACCAGCACTCGTAAGGGGTGCTGGCACCTAAAGCAGAGGACTGCTACACCACTGCACCGGGATTACTTGGTGACACATCTGATTGTATCTATGAGAAGTCTTTAAAAATCCATGGAGAATGTATATTATGGGGAAGTTATGAATCATTTTGGCACAAAAATCATTGTGTCTATTAATTCAATATTTTCATGAACATTTTGAAGCCCTTTCATATTTCCAGTTACTTTAGAAATGACATGTAACGAGTATTTTTTTTTAATATGACTGTTTAAAATGTACAAAGTGATGCTTTATTATGTAGAGCTGCAAAGGCAGATGGGTGTTGGGGGCTTCCGGCACTGGTGCCCCTCTGCTTCTTGGCCTGCCGGGTGTTCACTTTATAATCTGTACTCAATTGGACAGAGATGTTTCATGTACTTCTCTTGGTGTGTTTTATTTCACTATTTTAAAAGTACTCAATCAGTAACTTATAATTTATCTTCCTAAATTACGTAAAATTCTCAAATATGAATTTCATTAAGGATTAAGCGGTATAGACATAAAATTATGAATCATTAATTCTCTTGAAATTTTCATTTGAGCCCTTCTTTGTGCAGATGAACTGAGTGGATGTTCAAAATCATTTAGATAAAATCTCCTGGTTTTACAGTTAAGGAAATTGAGGCCCATCAAGGAGGCATTTGAGCAGAATAGAGAAATGCATAAATTAAAATCAAAGTATTTAATTGTGAAGCTTGGGAAAGGAAGAAATAAGGAATGAATAATTTATTCAGGTTTTAATAAGACATTTTAATTTTTAATTGTGGGACTTGATTTTTAATAACAAATTAAACATAATTTAAAAATTGTTTTTGTAGGATGGCAGGAAATGGAACCATTGCTTTCTCTGCAACAAGTGTGTGAAACCTTGTAAGTGTTGAGACGGAGAGCCTGGGAACAGGTTGTGCAGTGTTTTATTTAACTACATGTGTTTACAGAGAAAACTGACTACTGCAGAGACAGGCAGTAACTGGGATCTGATGTGCGCATGTGTCTCCGTAAGGAGCGGTGGCTGCTGACCCTCTCTGGTTTGGCATTGGGCTTGCCTTAGTCGAGTGGGCACTGGACCACTCAGCCCGCCTCCACGTGGCTGTAGCCGAGTGGGCACTGGACCACTCAGCCCGCCTCCACGTGGCTGTAGCCGAGTGGCACTGGACCACTCAGCCCGCCTCCACGTGGGTGTAGCCGAGTGGGCACTGGACCACTCAGCCCGCCTCCACGTGGGTGTAGCCGAGTGGGCACTGGATCACTCAGCCCGCCTCCACGTGAGTGTAGCCGAGTGGGCACTGGACCACTCAGCCCGCCTCCACGTGAGTGTAGCCGAGTGGGCACTGGACCACTCAGCCCGCCTCCACGTGGGTGGCTGTCAGCTCATGACTCTTTGGGGAAGGGCTGGATTTTTTGCCAAGTAGCAGAATTAGGTTCATTGGTTTATGTGGCATTCCAGCCTCTTCAGCTAGGTCTCTTTAGCCAAATTCAAATGGGGTAAAAAACACGATCCTGCAGCCCACCTGAAATGTTAATAAATGAAACCATGTATAAGTGAACTTCTCTGAAGCTTGTTTTTTATTTTTAGCCTGGATCCACTGCAGCACTTGCAGTCACTGCGCTGTTCCAGATCATTCCTGCGAGGGCCCTAAAGACGGCTGCTTTATTTGCGGTGAATTAGATCACAAACGTAGTAATTGTCCTAATATCTCGGCATCCAAGAGGGCTAACAAGTTAGTATATCTCTTTAATGTACTAGAAAAAAAATGTCCGTGTGTGCTTCCTATAGTGCGGTCTACAAAAGAATGTAGAATTCAGAGGAGTCAGAAGTGCCACATCAGTGGCTGTAGTTATGATATAGCGTTTGCATGGGGGGAAGTTTCCAGTTTCACAAATTTGACATGAAAACAGCCCGCATATGAGGTATAAAATGGTGAACTTTACATGTCTGGTTCATGTGAAATTACGGTTTGAGGGCTGGGAGTTGAGGCCGTACTGAAGGGTATGGAATTTAAGTCAGCACTGGTGGCATACAGCAGAAAAGTCTGGAGAGAGTATCTGGAATTGAATGTCATGCATTTCCACAGCAGACGAATTGTTGGATGAGCTCATTTCTTGTAATCAGATTTTATACACACACACACCCTATTGATTTTTTTTCTTATGAAGATTTTATTTATTTATTATTATCGGAATGGTAGACATATAGAGAGAAAGAGAGCCAGAGAGAAAGATATTTTGTCCACAGGTTCACTCAGCAAGTGGCCACAGTGGCCGGAGCCGAGTCCATCTGAAGCCAGGAGCCAGGAGCTTCTTCTGGGTCTCCCACACAGGTGCTGGGTCCTAAGGTCTTGGCCCATCCTGGACTACTTTCCCAGGCCACAAGCAGGGAGCTGGCTGGGAAGCAAGGCCACCAGGATTAAGACCGGTGTCCATATGGGATCCTGGCGTGTGCAAGGCGAAGACTTTAGCCGCTAGGCTACCACGCAGGACCCTAAATATATCGTTATATATTTTAAAAAGTACTTTTAATAGCTTTTTTGGCATAAAAGTAATAAAAACTCTTTCCACCTTACACTCCTACAGCTGTCTTTATATTCAATTGTTTTTCTTTTAGTTGTGAACTAGAATGATGTTGGCTCCCTCTTGTGGTCAGACCTTGTTTTCTCAGTTACATAAATCCCATAATTTAGAGGACAAATACTAGATCAATTTGCCTTTTAAAAATTTATAGATTTATTTATTCATTTATTTATTTGAAGAAGTGACAGAGAAGGGGAAGGGAGGGGCTAAGCTAACAGCAGATCTGCCATGCGGGTGGCAGGAACTCAGTGCTTGGGCCATCATCTGCTGCCCCCTAGCTGCTTTAGCAGGGAGCTGGACTCCACCCAGACGCTCCGTGGGCTGTGGCTTAGCTGGCTGTAGCTGGATGGCTGCTCCCAATTTACTCTTGAGGCTATACAAAAAGAAGTAATTTGTATTCAGTGAGTTCATCACAGTTCAAAGACTTTGTGTCTGCAATGCTTCGTTTACATCTCAACATATTAAATCTCTTCCTTCTGGTTTTGTTTACCGTGCCCCCTAATGAATCTTGGTCATGTTTTAGACCTGCTTGGGGGGAAGTGTCAGAGAAAGTTGCTTTAAATTTGGATACAGGCACCTGTGGCCTCATTGACTTTTCCCGTATTATACTTCACTTGACGTGCTAACTCTTCTAGTGACGATTACTAGGAAATTATCCTACTTTTTAAAAATTGCTGGAGAAGAGATTTCTATAATAAGAGCAACCTGATATAAAGCTAACACTCAGGCGTGCTGTGACACAGGGGAGTAAATGACTCCTTGGGATGCATCCTATATCAGCCTTCTGCTGATGTGCCTGGGAGACCGCAGATACACCCCGTGGAAGACCTGGATGGAGCTCCTGGCTCGTGGTATAATCCCGTCCCAGCCTTGACTGCTGTGGGCATTCAAAGAGTGAACCCGCAGATGGAAGTTCTCTCCTTCCCTGACTCTCTTCTTCTCTCTCTCTCTTACTTTCAAATAAATAAATACATTCTGAAATATTTATTTGAAAGTTGAAGTGACACAAGGAAGAACAAAGACAGACAGTCCGGGCCAGGCCAAAGCCAGGGGCTTCTTCCTGTCTCCCACGCGGGTACAGGGACTTAAGTATTTGGGCCATCTTCTGTTTCCCAGGCACGTTGTCAGGAAGCTAGATTGAAGTAGAGCTGCTGCCACTTGAACTGCTGCTCATGTGGATGAGTTGCTGTGGGGTGACTTAAGCTGCACCAGGAGGTTAATAACACTCTTATTGTGCCAGCCCCAATAAATAATTCTTTAAAAAAATAAAAGATAACTTAAAATCCAAGTGTAGGGCCCAGCGCGGTGGCGCAAATGGTTAAGGTCCTCACCTTGCACGCCCGGGATCCCATATGGGCGCCGGTTCTAATCCCGGCAGCCCCGCTTCCCTTCCAGCTCCCTGCCTGTGGCCTGGGAAAGCAGTCGAGGACGGCCCAAAGCTTTGGGACCCTGCACCCGTGTGGGAGACCCAGAAGAGGCTCCTGGCTTCGGATCGGCATAGCATCGACCGTTGCGCTCACTTGGGGAGTGAATCATCGGATGGAAGATCTTCCTCTCTGTCTCTCCTCTCTGTATATCCACCTTTCCAATAAAAGAATAATAATAAAAATAAATCTTTAAAAAAAATCCAAGTGTAAAAAATGTAAAATTATCAGGAAAATTTCCGTGTACTCATGTGGAACTACTGTTAATATCATTTATGGAGTTGTTGCTTTATGCTTAGTATATTACATATCTGAATAATTTGCAGTTGAGTATGTAGATCTGGGTGAATGAAGGTATAGGCTGTAGAATCAAGTTGGATCCTAGGATTTCATTACCTCAACTTCTTCACCTAAAAAAAGTTGAAGATGAGCAACGATTCTTGCCTTGTCTCACTCAGTTTTCCAGCTTCCTGAAGTCAAAGATTATGTGCATTGCTGTTTGTACTTTGAGCTTGCAACTTCAGCTGACTATGCTAAGTGAACAAAGAGTTTAACCCATTTTAGGGTTGCATACCATCTTTGAAACTCTTTTCCCAGGTTTTATCAAGCAAAGATCAAGAATAAACTTTATTTCTGGGAAGCTGCTCATTGCTTATGAGAGCTGACTCCTAGCAAGTAGTGCAGCTGGAAAAGCAGAGAAGTTGCCGTGTGTGCCAGTAGAGCTGCCCCAGCCATTCCATAGTTTGTGATAGAGTAAATGGCGAGCTAACCTGGAGACAGTGCAGGAAGGAACTGTGACCCCTCTCAGCCACAGATGGCTGCACCTCAGTGCAGAGGGCACCAGAACCAAAGCTTCTGTTTATCTTCTTTGGTGTTTTTTGAGGGTGAATTCTAGCTTGTTTTTGAAGTTAGACTTCAAGAAAATAAATATCATAAAACATGCTCATCCTGTGTGGAACTTCTTAGGGACACTTAGAACCACTCAGGGAGGGAAAATTAGCTGTTGGACTTAGAGATGAGACCTCTCAACTACTGCCACTTATTTAGATTGGGCTGTTTCGTTTTTTTACCTCTGCTAACTAACAGATGTCAGTTCTTCTCCTAAAAAATATAATTCAGGTATTTGAAGATAGAAATGCTGAGTTGAATAATACAGATATACCAAAAGAAAAAAAAAAAGATACATTAAAGCAAAAACAAAACCAACAAAACCAACCCGACTCATTGGCTTAGCTCTTTACCTCGAGGTGCGTTTGTCCTGAATAGCTTGTTCTAAATCCATTACCCATCTTGCAAAGAAATTTCTTTTCCCAAACATTTTGCTTGGTCAGGCCTCTGACTGTTTCCTTGTTGTTATGGATAGGATGCTGAGGATTTATGCTTACAATACAGTAAATTCTTTGCCTTCTATTTTCTATTTTGTTGGCTAGTTAATTAAACTTCAACATAATTACATAATTCACTGTGTTCATTCTATAAAATAATTTAGCACCTTGTTTTTCAGAGCTGTCAGAAAGCAGAAGCAAAGAAAAAGTAATAAGATGAAAATGGAGACCACTAAAGGACAGACCATGAATCATACATCTGCTACAAGGAAAAAGAAAAGGAGGGAGAGAACCCATCAATATCTTTGCTCTTAAATGTCCAGTGCCTTGAGAATAAGGAAGATTTATAGTCCAACCTTTGACGCCATTTTCTGAAAGTGCCACCCTGGACTTATATGCAATCACTTTGAAAAGGTATGCACCTTTTGAGCTAGAAAACAGGTTGGTGGCATTTGCTGATTTAGCATCTGTCCCCTCACCTGCCGGTCTGGAGACCTGGGGGCCTGCTGTGTCGTGAGCCGCTGCACTAGCACCCTCTACTTGTTCTTCGGCCTCTTCTGTCTGAGGAATGGGCACACAGCATGCTTTCTGCAGACTGCATCAGGAGAAAATGGAATGATAACCTTGAAGTTTGTTTACATTAAACAAAGTCTATCAATTTAGATGCACAAGCATTTTGTGTTAACTATTAAATCATGATTTAAACCACATTATAAAGAAAGCTACAATCTACAGTTATTTTGAGACTGAATCTGAAGATGTCAGGAAGAATTTTTACAAAAGTACTCTGAAGATGTAAAGGTGATGATGGTAATGGCTGTTGTTACATATTTATTAAGAACTTTTGGATGGTATGAAATCAATTAAATGTTGGATGAGACGTTGAGAATTATGACTGGCTCTGTCATCTCCGTGTGTGATTATTTGTTTTCACTTCATTGGAAAGGCTGAGAGAAAAAGTGAAATCTTCCGTCCTGTGATTCACTCCACACACAGCCAGAGCTGGGACAGCCTGAACCTCAGGGACCTGGACCTTGGTGCAGGGCTCCCACATGGTTGGTGGGACCGATGGTCCCTGAACTATCATCCGCTGCCTCCCAGGGAACGTGTTAGCAGGAAGCTGGATAGGAAGCATTGGCGTTGGCACTTGAGCCAGGCAATCTAAAATGGGATGTGGGTGAACCAGGTGGCAGCTTAATCACTGTGCCCAACATCTACTCCCATTTCAATTTCTTAATGCAGTGAAAGAAGCTGGTGGTTTGGTTAAGTCTCTCATGTCTGTGCTGACACTTCCTGATTTGTGGCCTTGACCGACAGTCACTCTCTAGAGGTCCAGGTTACTTCATTACTATAACAGGGAGAATGACAGCTCTGTCTGGATTTGTGTTCAAGGTTAAAGTATATGAGAGCCCTGAACCTGGCCCTCAGTTCTCCTCTGATGTCGGTGAGTTTTGCTAACGAATGAAGACTGTCCCTGTGGCCTAGCAGTGAGCACTCCTTGGCCCAGTAGCAGAGCACTGAAGAGTGTAGGGTTAGCTCTGGGAACGAGCACTTCCTCTCCCCCTTCTCTACCAGACCTCTGATGTCATGTCACGAAGCTTGAAAAGCCTCGAAGGACTTTGATAATGACTTCTGTCTTCCTGGCCAACTGCTTTGGGGCCGACTTCGAGGCATCTTCGCTTGGGGTTACCTACAGTCCTGTGAGTACCGCACCCCTCATCTGGGATTTAAAGTCCACTGAAAACTGATGCCTGTTGTGAATTGTAACACGTGTCCAGATGATGGTGGTGGTGGGCGCAGCAGATGCCACTGTGCTCCCAGGCTTAGGAAGTGTGAGAAAATCTTTTCCTCTGTGTTACCTGGATTGCTGTGATCCTAGGAGTGACAGACTTAGAGGTGATTGAGTGAGATGTGAACTCTGTTTCATATATGCAGAGAGAGATGACCTCAGTTATGGTGTCTGCCAAGTCCCCCACAAGGATGCAATGAACTCGACTACAGCATCACTGCTGTATCCTAGTGTGTACATTAGGAGCCCTAGGTACTCCAGTGCTGCCAGGGTAAACATCCATGAAAATGTGTTTAAGAAATAATTACAGCTAAACTTAATTCTGCTTTTGGTCTGTATAGCAAAATGTAATGAAATGGAATTTTAGGCCCTTAATGATTTGGTTTTCCTTCTTTCCTTTGTTTTTGTTTTTGTTTTTGTTGGTTTGGTTTTTTTGGTTTGTTTGGTTTTTTAAGGATTTAGTTATTTTTTTTTAAGGTAGAATTACAGAGAAGGGTATGTATTGAGATGCACTGGTTCACTCCCCAAATGCCCACAACAACTGGAGTGGAGTGGGCTGAAGCCAGGAGCTAGGAGCTGTGAGCTTCTTCTGTATCTCTTATGTGGCTTCAGGGGCCCATGCACTGGGGCCATCTTCCATTGCTTTTCCAGACCATTGGCAGGGAGCTGGATAGGAAGTAGAGCAACCAGGACATGGACTGGTGCCCATATGGGATGCTGGCATCACAGGTGGAAGCTTTACTTACCACACCACAATTTTGCTCCCAGTTTTTTAAACATTGGATTGATGTTTAACTTTATTTCTCTGTGCTGCATTTTTTCCATCCTGCATTGTTCTGCTTGGAATGCATGCCACCACCTGTGTGCTGACATGGGGCCTTGCTGCTCTTCTCAGCTCCATTTAGGAAGTCTTCCACAAGTCCCAGACAGCTGCCAGAACCTTCTGGGAATCCCTTTGTCTTCTGCACTGTGCCTGGGACTCTTCCATATATTATATTCAGATAATAATCACAGATTTTTGTTCTCCAAAAGACTCAAATTTCTTGACGACCCATTTTTTTCTACTCTGTCTCTCTTGTGCCTTGCAGATGTTCAATAAAAATTCGATGAAGAATGTCCAGAGGTTTTGACATGGTAGTGTGCCTGAGAGATGGAGTGGGTTTGTGTTTTTCTATTTCTGAAAAGAAGGAAGCAGATTGAGTATTAGGAGAGAGTTAGAGTGAGTACGAGGGCTTCCTGCCTCCCAAGGTGCTGCGTGTGCTATATGAGGAAGACTGGCAGCTTTATCTAGAAATCTGTTATTTACACTTAGAGTAATTCAGTTTTTGGAATTAAATGAAACAAAAAAAAATTTCTGAGTTGATATTTGACCTCCTGTAAGTAATCTATCAAATATTAGGAATTTAAGAGAAGCTAGGATACTTTTTCTTCAGATTTTTTTTTTTTTTTTGCAAAGTCAGATATATAGAAAGGAGGAGAGGCAGGAAGATCGATCGTCCGTCCGAAGATTCATTCCCCAAGTGACCGCAATGGCCGGAGCTGCACCAGTCAGGAGCCAGGAGCTGTTCCACGTCTCCCATGCCAGTGCAGGGTCCCAAGGCTTTGGGCCATCCTCAACAGGTGAGTGGTCCCAGGCCACAAGCAGGGAGCTGGATAAGAAGCAGGGCCGCTGGGATTAGAACCGGCACCCATATGGGATCCTGGCACATTCAAGGTGAGGACTTTAGCTGCTAGTCCATGGCGCTGGGCCTGAAGCTAGGATAATTTTAAAATATACATCTACAGCACCAGTGCAGTGGCATACAAACTAATCCTCTGTCTGAGGTGCTGGCATCCGATTTGGGTACGAGTTCAATCCCAGCTGCTCCACTTACGACCCAACACTCTAATAATGGCCTGGGAAGGCAGCAGAGGATGGCTAAAGTTTTTTGGCCCCTGCACCCACATGGGAAATCCAGAAAAAGCTCCTGGCTCCTTTCTTCTGACTTCAGATTGGCTCAGCTCCACCGTTGCAGCTATTGGGGAAGTGAATCAATGGATGGAAGATCTCACTTTGTCTCTAATTCTCTCTGTAAAGCTGCCTTTCCAATAGAAATAAATATATCTTTCAGTATACAAATCCACAATGTACAGAGGATTCCTGTCTGCTGTCATTTTCTTCCAGATACCCTTGTTAGTTTCCCCAGGAAGCAGTGCTTCTGGCCAGTGAAATAAAATGTTGTGGGCATGTGTTTTGGTTTATCCTTTTTTGTTGTTCAAGATTTACTTTATTTGGAAAGGCAGTTTTACTGAGAGAGAGAGAGAGAAGGATCTTCCATTGCTGGTTCACTCCCCAAATGGCCGCAACAGCCAGAGCTGAGCCAATGTGCAGTCAGGAGCCAGGAGCTTCTTCTGGGTCTCCCAGGTGGGTGCAGGGACCCAGGGCTTTGGGCCATCCTCTGCTGCTTTTCGATGCCACAGGCAGGGAGCTGGATGGGAAGTGCAGCAGCTAGGACAGGACAGGAACTGACGCCCAGATGGGATTTCGGTGTTTGCAGGGAAAGGATTAACCAATTGATCTATTTCACTGAGCCCGGGTTTATCCTTCTTTTGAATTCCTTCAGTCATACCTGGACTTTATAGACTGGAAGCTGTGGACGGCAGGGACCTGTGGACTCCCCTCTGGCTGCTCCCTGGGACTCCCAGAGCTGTGTTGTGTGCAGTGCAGCATCAGAGGGTACAGGTTGGGCCACACACGACCTCAGGAAATAGGAAGGAAACAGACGGCAAAGCCAGCACGTATCTTCACTCTCCAGGTAACAGGTGCTCATAAATACCAGCTGAGTGGATGGAAATGCGATTTAATAGAGTGCTTTATGCCTCAAAGCCCTAACGGCTGTGTAAGCCTCCAGCCGATGCGCTCAGAGCCGCCAAATGAAGGAAAGCTTCCAGAAAATGCAAAAGCAAATCCAATTTCACTTATTTGATGTGATTTTAATTGGAACATTAGGACATGGGTTAAATTACTTGAGGGTCAGCTACGACGGTCATTGCAATCAAGTGGAGATAAGATCTCTACTATTTGATTTCAGGCAAGTTAGGATAAATGTTAACTCAGCAAGATTGAGGAAAATAGCACCAAAGAGTGAGCAGGAAGCTCTCTGGGCTCTCAGAGGTGAGTTTGATCTCATTAGCTGGCCAGCTAAATGATTCTCACAGTGTGCTGTCGCTTGACACTACTGCAGACAAGCTGACGGGGACAGCTGCGGGTCTCTGGGAAGCAGGGCTGAATACATGGGCCAGTTTCTTTGCCACTGTGGAGGGCAGCTGGAACATTCTACATGCTTCAAGAAGAAAGAAAGAAGCAAACATTGTTGCCTATTAACCTCACAGTTACCCTGGGAGTCAGGTAAAGGAAGAGAGCTCCACTCCCAGCCACGGATAACCAACGTTAGTTTCCCTGACTAGTCTTCCAGAGATAGGTTCTCCCATGAGTGTGCAGACACATGCTAAAACTGCCCCCACCAAAATGGAATTACAAATGCTGTTTTATGGTCTACACCTTTGCCTCATATGTATTGTGAACATCAACTTAGGTTTTCAACAATCACATTATGCCTCAAGATGGATAAAACAGATTTTAAAAAATTCACCTCCTGTGGTTGGACATCTAGGTTTACATTATTCTAATGTAACCATGCTTAAAGCCAAATCTTTTATTAATGAGTAAGATGCAGGGCCATTAATATTATTATGTAATATCCTATTAATGTTTGCTATATAGAATTACCAATCAACATGTGTATTTCTTGTATGTATGCAGAATTAGACATGTAGTCCATAGTTGAATGTTTTTCTTTAAACTAGGATCACATTAGTCTCTGAATTTATTTGTTGGAACAACTGAAGTGATGTGTAAGAGAAACAAAAATGCTAGAAATGGGCTTCCCACTTAAAACTGCCCCTTTGGGAAGCTGTGGTGGATCGTGTCAGTGAACGTGGCTAATCACTTTGGTAGCATCATGCCAGCCCTCCCTGTCCTCCCCCTGCTGTGGGATTTGGGAGATGGTTGACTGACACCATTTCCAGCTTGGGGAGGGTTTAGCCAGGGTAACCAGTCAGCC